TCTAAAATCCCTACATCGCTGTTTTGGCTGTTGACTTCCAAACAAGGAAAGTTTTAGCCTTAAATTCCTTCCAACGGTCAGGTCTCTACATCGATGTTCTATACTAGAACATCGCTATTTAGGTCTGCCTTTGGAGATGGAAGTTTGGCCTGACAGCGCTGTTGCTGGGTCAACATCGCTGTCCAAAAACTTTCTGCCAATGCACTATATTTTTGGCTTAGGTTGGACAGCGCTGTAGGGGAGCCTACATCGCTGTTCGAGAAGTTTCTGGAAATCCAACCTTGGCTCAACAGCGATGTCTAACATCCAACATCGCTGTTGGAAGACTTAACGCCAAACCATGGTTTTCAGCCACCCAAGCCAGACAGCGCTGTTGGGCTGGTTTAGCCAGACCCATGGTTGGTTTAGTCAGCCGTTAGCCGATGTCAAAAATGTAAGTTCTCCAAAGTAAAAACCAAGTATTGAAAATGTTTGTTTAATGCATTTTGCTAAGAAATCAAGTAAAACGTTTTGAAAACCACGTCATTTAGTTGAAAACCACGGCTAGCCAAGTTTACGCCGTTTCGCATGGTTTTCACTAAACGACCAAAAACGAAAGGTGGTTTTTGAAGCGTTTTTGTTGGAGAACTATTTAAATGTGCCCAGAAGTAAAAACCAGTCATAAGAGGTTGAAAACCACTTGATTGGTTCGGACGCCAAAAACCAATGCCGAAAACCGAAAGCCGAATGCCGGTTTCTGAAAGCCGAACGCCGGAGGGCTTGGTTTTTGGCTTGGGCGAACTCCAAGTGTTTTGAGCCAAGTTTAAAACTTAAGAAAAATATTTTTGAAAATGTAAAAGAGATTTTTATGAATTGAGCCTAGAGAGCCAAGATTTAGAATTTTGTGCCGGTCTTGATCACATTAAGACCGACTCAATACAATTCTAGTTCTTTGTTCTTGATTCTGGGTTCTTGGTTCTCAAGTCATCATGTCATGTTCCTTCGCCTTAGTTTTGCTCACTTTAGCTTCGATATGTCGCGGCGGTTTGGCATTATCAAAACCTGTCACAAAGACGAACACAGTTTAGTACGACGGAGGCGTAAACCCGTGTTCCAACAATTTCCCCCTTTTTGATAATGGCAAACAAGACGGGGATATGCATACTAAGGGATATTTGTTTTTCAAATTTTGTGAAAAAAAGTTCCCCCTTAATTTGTGCTTAAAAAGAAATTGGTTGGATTAAAATCAAACGGTCTCGTTTATAGAGACGTTCCCCCTTAGTGTATGCATAGCCTTTTTCTTCCCCCTTTTGACATTAACAAAAAGATAAGCGAAATGATTTTATTTAATAAAGGGAAATAGCGGATTACAACAGAAGCATTAAAAAAGAACAAGATAATTAAAGTAAAAGAGATAGAAATTCTAGGGGAGTCCTAGTCTTCGTCTTCGGTTTCCTCCTCGTCGTTGTCGACGTCCATCTCATCCCCATCGATGGTATCGTCGAACTCGTCTTCATCCGGGGAGCTTGACGGGGCGTAGGAGTCATCGGCTTCGTCTTCGTCACCGTACACTTGCCCAAAGAACGTGCCGTGGTACGGTGGGGGGACGTAGTTGATGCCTTGGAAGTACGAGTTCATCGCGTATCCTTGGCGTTGAACAGCCACGTCGAGCCGTTCAAGGTAGCTCCCCATCCCGTAAACCTTGAGGTGGAGCTGGTTGAGGGAGTCGGCGATGGAGGCGAGGTTGGCCCGGGCCTGGGGTTCGGCTTGGCCAGCGGCAGTGGCGGTGCGGCGTGGCTGGGCAGTGGCAGCCGTGGCGTTGTCCGACCGCTTAAGGAAGGTTTGGTTGCTGATTGTCCAAATCTTCGTGGCCTTCGTGAGCGGACCAAAGGTGGTGGTTACCTTGAACCGTTCAAGGATGTCCATCACCAAAAACGAGTACGGGAGGAGGTGGTCGTGCTCGGTGGACGCGGCAATCGTCATGTTGATCATGACAAACTTTGCCCAATTGATTGGGGCCGAATGCATGATCGCATGGATAAGCTTGAGGTCTTCACCGTGCATGATGGTGTGGCCGTGCTTCCTCGGTTTGATGATTCGGGTGACGATGTAGAGAACGAGGCGGTCGTCGGGGTTGGCGGAGTGGATGGTTGGGCGTCCCGAGGCATGGCGTTTGAGCTCGGTGATGCCAAGCTCGTTGAGGATAAGGCCCTCGTTGTTGAGCACCCAATCCTCGCCACCATAGTGAGACACATCATCGCCTTGGAAGGGGAGGCCGGCGATGCGCCCAAGCTGCTCCACGGTGAGCTCGATCGGCGTGCTCTTGACGAGCGAGTAGAGCACGTCGTCCTCACGCCGGAGGTTGGAGTAGAAGGCCCGGATCAACGCCGGGTTGATCTCCTTGCGCGCACAGGAGACGAACGGCCAAAGGCCGGCTTGATGAGGCTGCGCGTCGAGGTCGTCGTAGCCCTGCAATTCCGGGTAGCGCTCTGGGATGATTCGTGTGGGAGCCACAACCCGTTTGGAGAAAAAAGTGAGAAATCGGGTGCGCTCCTCCTCGGAATCGAACCAGAGGTACGATCCATCGCCGTAGTAGAGGCGTTCCTCGGAGGTCGTGGATGGAGCCCAGGATTTGGACTTGGATTTTCCGGAGGTGCCTGCCCTGTTCTTGTCTTTGCCCATTGTGAAGAAAACTCAAAAAATTCGAGTAGAGAGGATGAAATATGTGAAGATATTGAAGGAATTTGTGTTTGTGTGTGTAAAAGTGAAGAGAGGGGGTCCCAATTTATAGGAAAGGTGGTGTCCAACGGCCTGATTTTCAAAATTATGGCTATTGGAGAAGTTAATGTTGCAGCCAACGGATTTTTTTTTTTTGAAAATTTTGACCAGAACAGCGATGTTCTACAGGGGACATGCGACAACCCTGTCGCGACAACAAGGAACATGTCGCGACAAGACGCAGTTCAAAAATTTTTTTGTTCTCAGTTTTCCTGTCGCTACAACTCATGGGATGTCGCTACAAGGTTTTCAAAGACCTTAACTGTAAGGGTGTAAACCCATTAGGACAGCGCTGTTGGGTTATCCTACATCGCTGTTATGCGATTGGAAAAAAAATTTGTAAAAATGGACATCGATGTTGAAGGCAAGACATCGCTGTTTAAAAGGTTTCTGGTTTTGGTTGAAAACAAAAAGTTTTGGGAGGACAGCGATGTTCAACAGGGAACATCGATGTTCAGAAAGTTTCTGGAAAGTGAAGGTGTAAGGGACTCCCTGGGACAGCGCTGTTGGAAAACTTTCTGGTTGGCGGTGTTTCCCTCAACAGCGCTGTTGTGTCTCCTGGACAGCGTTGTTTTCATGGTTCCCCCTGATTTAATGAACGGGGTACCTGCAAAAAAGAAAAAGTTCTCCGACGCTCAAGTTAGTAAGTGTTTAATAAATTTAGATTCAAAACTTAGATCATCGTGGAGTCAAGGATTCCGAGTTCACTTCGAATGCGGAAGAACGACTCTTTCTCTAAAGGTTTTGTGAAAATGTCGGCTAATTGATTGTGTGTTTCAACAAACTCAATTTCGACATCACCTTTGAGAACATGATCTCTAATGAAATGATGCCTAATGTCAATGTGTTTTGTCCTTGAGTGAAGAACGGGGTTCTTCGTCAAGCTTATGGTGCTAGTATTATCACAACGAAGAGGGACGTGATTAATACTAAGGCCATAGTCCACGAGTTGTTGCTT